GGGGTGAGGCGCATTGAGAAAAGAAGTGATCAATCGTGCACGTTCTTGACGGAAATTTCGAATTAACTGGCTTTCGATAGCTAGTTATCTGATTCTTGAAATCATATTTTTAGAGAATCACTGATTTAGGGCAGTGAAGGTTCAGCTGTTCACGGAGAGAAAAATACTGGAAAGAGGACGTGACTAGTTACGTAATTGTGAGGTGATGAATTATTTCACTCATTTTTATCTAAAATCATGGGAGATTATTTAAAAAATGAGAGATGGTCAGTAAATTTTATTATTTGCTCCGAAAAATTTACGGTACTGTCAAGTATTTTTGTTTAAACTCCTAAAACTTAGAGTTTCAAGTAAAAAGTACGTCAAAGAACTTAAAGACTACTCAATTCCACGTAATTTTAGCGTGACTAGAGCAGTAATTTTTAGGGTTCTAAAGGTTTTCTAAAGAAATCGAAAAGGCGGGACGCTATTGGCTCCAGTTATTTTAGACTCGAGTCAACCAAAAAATTATTAAATGACGATCAATCGCGTAAATGCATAATCAACTCTTTTTTTCTCGGTGGGCAGATGTAGAATTCGGGCGATGGTAATGAGAGCCAATTACATTAATAAAAACCCTTCATTCGCTAATCGAGATTTGAAAAATCCCGCGGATTACTTCAACGCCAACTTCACGCGACTCATTGACCAATCGGGAGTAAGAGCAGTGTTCAGTTTACTTTTATTCATTTTGATGACCAACTTCATGCTATATTTCGTATGTGAGATAGGATTCATTTGATTTCGATTTCCACGCGAATCATTCATTCAGAGATACACGAGATCTAGAATTTATGATAGAATTTACTGTACCTCGTAAAAAGAAATCAGAATGGAGATATCTGATGGATTTTTGTGTCTAGGAGATAGTTAATTCATCATTGTATTCGGTTTGATCCTCAAAGAGACTCTATCCCGAATTTAAACCCCAAATTTGAATTTCCAAATTGTACGGCACGTCGAAACTTGGATGTCCGATCAATTGGAAAGTTGTGCAGACACTCGTTTGAATTCTAAATCCTCGCTTTGAATTATCAAACGACTACCAGGTACTGAATTCAGAAATTTCAGTATTCACAAATCTCTTAAAATTTTCAGCATTTCAAATGACATGAATAAATGAGACAAAGTGAAAGTCAAAAATTCCCTCTAGCCCGAAATTTCTATAAAACGAATTGTTATATCGGACAATGCCCAGAATTCAATTGAACATCCATTAAATTCAATTTTATTCTCCCCTCATGCTCGATTTTAATCTGAATGTCGAGTGATCTATTGAACGGGAGTAATTGGTACCGAGTGGAACGTAAAAAAAAAAAGCCAACGCTCGTCCGCATGCACGCGATTTTGGATTATCTCGCAATTCACTCGGTTTCGGTTTATCGATCAAATCCGAGTGGACAATTTTGCCTCGATATCAAATCGACGATTCAAAAACATCATTTTGCGAAACAGACTCGGTCTAGACGAGAAACAAAATGATGTAAGAGCAGTCGAACTGTTTTACCCGGACGAGGGACATAAAAACCCATGTCATTTGGCTTCGGCTGTCTCGTATTCTGGGATATCACATCCGATCGTATAATACCGGTGAGATAACACATTACTAGAAGGTCCCCCGCCGACTAAATATACCCGAGGTGATTTATCGATCGCTGTCAATGTTTACATTGGTAATTTACAACAACGGTTGACGCCTATTTGTCTAATGAATTCAAGTTTATGTTCTTTTATCCGAATTAACACCTGGCCTTCTCCCCAAAATCCCGGGAATCCCCTAGATTCCAGTATGATAGTTCCATTTTAAGATAATTGCGTGCAAAGAGATTCAAAATTTTAATATTTCAAGTGTCTGTAATTAAATCTTGAGTGTGTGTTGTGTTCCTTGGATTGATGATTCGTGTTGATTTCGCGAGTGGAATTCAACCGCCATTTTGATAATTGATGTGCTGTATGTTGTGGAATGTGTAATCGAAAAAAGGTGTCATTTTTGCGGAATTGAAGTCTCTTGGACATAATTACCGATATGTTCGAGGGGTTATTCATTGTCAAATATCGTGACTTGATGATTAATGATTTTACATGGTCTCTAGGTGATTTTAAATGATATCGGGGGATAATTGATTTCAAGTGACTTCAAATGAATTCAAGAGGTTTTTCTCTCCATTTCATGATTTCAAACGATTTCAATTGATTTTAGTTAATTTCCATTGGTTTCAAATGATTTCATATGAAAGGGGATTCCAGGGACTCTACCGAAAAAAAAAATCCCTAGATCCGAAACGAAAAACCTAACTGTCTACGACCCCGGGGAACCGGCGGATAAACATCTCGAATTCGTGCCCCTCAACATTGCAATTCCCCAAAAAAATGATCATATCCCTCCAAAGAGAGACCCCTGATTATCTCGATTGCACACCGATGCACTCCCGGGATAACGTAAAACCCATTATCAACAAAATTTCGTCTTGCATGTGGAAGCGGTGAATATAGACAGGTGCCTGGTGCACCGGAGAGAACGAGAGTTCCACTTTAGATTCACAAGCCGTAATAATGGTGGGGCCTATTGCATGAAAAACGACATGACGACAGGAAAATTTTGATGAATAACGTGTCTACTCGCTTGAAAAATCGACACAACGAGAAATGCCGCAATACTTGACGATACGAGTAGCTGGAAAATGATGATAATTACTCCCGTGTATGACACACAATGTTGATGAGGGGAGGAGGGTAAAAAATACACGAGTGCATTTGAATAAAAATAAATGGGAAAAAAAGTGGAAAAAAAAATGACGGGGTATGAGGTCGCGCGTTCTACAGCCACAAAAATGCGTTCGCGCGTGCAGATAATGTGAGTTTGTGCTTCGGTATGACCGTTATTACGCCTTGTGAATATAAACCGCTACAGCATCGGCCTCCGAGCGCAACAATTCTTCGAACGCGTTTATGCAAACACACGGGGAGGATGCGTGCAACACGTTGTCTTACGTGTTTCATTTTATTCCATATTCACAATTTTTATCTCGAGACAGTCGTTTACGGATATTTCGCGAGGGACTCTTTGTTCCGCGGAAGATTATCGCGATATTTTTCGAGAGTCGCGTGCAATCGGCAAGTCCGTTGGGATAATCGAGGGGAAAGCGAATGATTTTAATGGAATAACTAGTCATTGCTGCAATTTCCAGCTAATGGTCAATCATTTTTTATTATTCAAAACCAATTTTCCGAGTTGAAGCAGAACGCCATTTTGAGGGGTGCTTTTTTTATTCTAGTTACTAGAAGTTAGAATTAGATTGTGAAATTGTTATCGGAGCAGTACCTGATCTGCATCAAGTCTGATTTCATTTGAACTTCAATCGGACTTGAGTCATTCTCCACTCGGGTGGACAGATCAATTTGGGAGCACTTGAAAATGAAAATGGAATGGAATCATGAAACCTAAAACATGTTTTAAGATCGTACAGTCCGAGGCATATGGTGGCGTAATCGGTAGAGTGATGGGTTCGTAATGTCGAAGTCGTGGGTTCGCGCCCGGTCTCCGCCGACTCGATCATCAGTATAAAATTTACACGCCCCCTATTTCCCAACACACCATAAACCTCTGTCAGTCTCAGTCCGAGTCCCAGTCATATAGAAGTCATAAATATGTCATTAAAATAATCATTAGAAAAAAAAATCATACAATCCACACCTCAAACGGACTCAATCCCGCAGTAGAAATCAGTTATCAGTCCCAAATCTAGAGACTAAACCCTCGCCCTGAAATTCCACCCACCCCCTAGATTTCCATGGAGCATGTAGGAAATCCATTCAGCCCTCGAATTTCCTCCCTTCCTTCATCAGAGCGGTAAATCAACCAATAGAAACCATCGTGAAAAATATAAAAGGCCAAGTCGATTCAGGATGACTCGGCGGAAGGTTTACGAACGCCGGAAGTGGTCTACTCCACTACCCCCACCCGAATAAAATAAAACAAACCGAGGAAAATCCCTGGCAGAAGACGCCCTAGAGGGACAACGTGACAAAAAAAAAAAGACCCGCAGCTACCGGAAAATAAATAGGACCTCCGTCGGAGAATACCGACAGGACACAGCAGCCGAAGCGAGACGCAAAGCGCAACATCCACACGTTCAATTCGAATAAGAAAACTAAAAAGAGAGTGGGTGAGTGGGTGGCAAGAGGGGGAGGGCGTGCACTCGTAGTTTCTCGTGGTTTCTCCTCCTATCTGGTAGCGTGAAAGGAGAGGGCGTACAGTAATGTTCACTCCGTGCCACCGCATTTCAACAAAGTGGGGGGGAGGGCAAGACCTTCTTCCCCCTTCTCCCACCCCCTCTTTATTACCCCCTCCTCAACAGTTTCCCCCTTTTCTGTTGCATACACGCCAGATCGCTGGCTGAAACTGACAGCCCAGCCAGCTACTGTTGCTCTCTGTCTCTCTTCCACTTTCCACCTGTTATGCGAATCCCCGATAACCCCCCACCCTCTTTGCCACCCCCTTCATCGCCCGCCACTTCCCCCTACCTCCCCCCGACACCACCCACCCACCGCCCACGCAGCGCTACCGTCTTGCAGGTGTGCGGATGAGTAGGTGTAGGTGGGATCTTGCAGATGCAGCTTCTCATGGTTTTTACATTACATTGGTGAAATTAGTGATGAAATTTTTAGGGGTTGGTACTTACAAATCAAATCATCGAAATCAAAATGACGGATATTAATAAAATTGTACGAAGACAATTAGATATTACTGAAGTTTGCGAAATGGACATGGTAGTGATTACTATTAAAGATGCGAACTATGTCAATATCGTCTTCGATAGACATGGCATTAATTCTCATCTTTTATAGTAAGAATTACTATGGCAACATGATCCTTAAACTATTTCGAAGTTTTTAGATGTTGGCACTTACTCG